TATACATATGTTACAAACGACAGGACTTTCAATTTTCGAATACTATTGCTTTACTTATGTATCTAAATCTATGTATACTGATGTATACTTAAATATCTACTATACATATGCATTGTATTATTTGTATGTTGTATATTGCAGCATGTATGTATATACAGACACTTTTTATTTGTATCAAGAAAAAACAACAGTAATTGTAACAATAAAACACTACAGACATTACTTGATAAGAATCGAACAATTGTAAGTTTCTTATTTTCATCGATGAATGTTCATCAAGAGATCTACAAAAATTGCTCATATTACTGTTCAATAAATTACGATATACAGGAAATAATAATTTAATGTACAAATTGTTTTTATGCACAATTTTGCATAGTGCATATACAATAAATTTAGCCAATAAAGGCTCTTCTCGTTGTTAAAAATGAAAAGCAACAAACTCCTTATGTTATGTTGGCGGAGAGTACCGATGATAAGGCCAACAATAATGTGGTGGTGGTGGTGGCGGTGGTGCTGGCGGTGGAGCTGCTGATACCGATGTATGTTGGGAACTTGATGTGGCATATAAATGAGGGTGACAATTTACAGTCGTACCTCGAGTCGACGGAGATATCTCCAATGTAACACCAGCTTGGGCCTGACAAGCCATCATCAATCCATGGAAATCGAATTTGTATGCGTATCGTTTCCCATGCACTTTTGTCATAATATTCTTGTCGTAATAATATCTGCAAAATGCATCTTCTAGGAAATCATCGAATTAAAATTCTACGTACTTTTTTTTAATGAAGTGCCATATTTAATGTAAAGGGAGAACAATTTTCCGTATGAGTTTTGCGCTTACATTAAGGAGGAATGGGTAAAAGTGGAAAATATGATTATAAAGAAAGTTCTGTGTCTAGTCAATCTTCATCCTCGTTTAATTCCCAGACGATAATTGACGATAATGTCATACTATGTCGGGTGACCCAAGGGCTTGTAGACCGACTTCGCACGCATACATAGAAAATGTGATACGTTCTCTCTTTTTCTATCTCTAATGCTTCCCATGCGTCGTCACTAGAAGCTATACGTGTTTTCTATGGATGCGTGCGAAATCGGAATCCCTTGAATTATTTTCTACACAAAAACACAAACTGCTCGGGCCAATGGAAGCCCCTTTGCAATATTCACTATTTACTGATTAGTTCACAGAAAAATCGAATCTCCAAAGAACGCAGTAAAGAAAGATAGGAGAAGAAAGAGATAGTTGAAAAACGGAAAGGGAAGTGAGATCGTACGGAAAAATTGGAAAAAGAAGCGAAACATCATAAACTGAAAGTTGGCCAGAGAGGCCCTGGACAATAGAAAAAATGCGACGTTCGGAAACTCCCAAGTCGGATCACCGAATGTCTTGAGTAAAAGGTAGTAATAATAATAAAATGATGAAACAGAAAGTTGAAGTGAAGTAAAAAAGGGAAAGCTGAAATACAGAAACGTGGTAACGACAAGTCATTTTTTCTTAAGCGTCTTGAACATTCATTGTAAAAATTTATTGATTAGAAATGAACATATCAATATTTTGAGAAACCATACCATATAAATTACGGATTTGGAGTTACCTTTAGAATAATTTAATGAAAGATACCTAATGCGTTAAAGCTGGTACTTAGCTTATACCTGAGCGCTCGTGATAATTTGTCGTAGTTCATGTTCGGTTTGCTCTTTCGTTCGCCCCATCTACGAGCAACTTCGTCCGGATCGGTAAGCTTGAATTCACCGTTGGAGCCCTCCCACGCTATGCATGATGAATTTGACGAATCCGAAAGCAGCTCCAGCAGGAATTGCCAGAGTTGAACCTGTCCGCCTCCGACCGCCCCGGAACCGCCGGCTCCAGCTGTCGATCCAATCAGCGAGCAAGTTCGTTGAAGGAGGCTGAACCTCTCTACGGGCAAGAAGCAGAAACACGCATGCACCAGACATTGTGCTTTTCTCGAGGTCGATTCGTCGAAACCTTGAAGGAACAGCGATGGTCGGCGACCACTCGCCGGCTGCTCGCTGCCATTCTCTCTGTCCCATTCTCTGGTTTTTCATTCTGCATAATTTATTTCAACCTTTTTCTGTCTGTGATTGTTTTCGGTGTTTCAACCTTCTGTCGGACTTCGAACGAAGAGGAATTTTGCTAGGTACAGGAAACGAAACAAACCTGCGTCTACGCTATGTAACAAAACATTGTTATATAACAAATTTCTTTCAAATTTTGTTATGTAATATGCTTCTATAGTTGTTACAATGACTTCTTCAATTCATTTCAAGTTCAAGACAAAGTTTTCACGTTTTTTGCTCTGCTTTATCGATGACCAATCAAAAAAATAGTGCAAAATATAGATTTACGGAACTGCACTTTTCGTCCGTATACATGAGACGGTTTCTGGTCGTCAAGTACCGCTTTGAAAAGGCAAAAATTAAATTTTGCGTATTCTGGTCTTGATTTCATTCAAAACGATTTCTTTTTGACATAAAATTGCTTATAAATGAAGGCACTGTAACTACGACTTTTCATCTACTTTCTAATGTTCGTATTAATATCAGTTCTAATTAAATTATGACTAGAGTCAGACTTATTAACTTCCCTCTTTTTAACGAGGTATCTGAGGATTCAAAATTCTTATACAAACATACAGTAAGAACAAAAAATTTAGTTCCGTAAACCCATATTTTTGTCAATATCGGAATCTATAGTATAGCTCCATGTTTTTATATCACAGGCTGAGCCTTCCGCGATAACGAAGTATTGAATTAATCTGCTGTTTCATACAAAACAGGCAGTTTGTATTATATTACAGAATTATAATATTTTCTTTCTGCAATACATTTTCTTTTCTTGATACACAATAACATCTACATGTAATATTGGGTTGATGCAAAAGTTTTGTCCCATTTCCTTGAACCAAGTCGAAGAAAAATGCGGGACGAACTTTCGCATGAATCCAATAGTTAGTTTAATGCAATTTACATATGAATTTGTCCATAATTAAATATTATATAAAATACCGTTATAGAGAATGGCAGCTGCCGAAGGGTGGAATCTGGTATCCTGCTGAAGATGCAATGGATGTGTTTGAATCCTCCACATTACGCGACTAACAATTTCGCGAGTCTAGTCCTTCACCGCGTGAACAACGGTGAGCGGCAGACTCGGCGTTAATCTCATTTCAAAGGCACGTAAAGTTATAATCATTCTTCTTTATTGCTTAATTCACCCGAATTTTCCAATATTAATCCAGATTTCATATAGTTGCTTCGAAGATAACTGCCACAGTTTGGTAATTAACACGTTTAACTATGTCCACTACATAATATGCATACTTAACGGTACTTATTCCTTTCTTCAAAGTAAACTTCTTTTTTATTAAGTCAACAATAGTACTCCAGTTTATAAAAATATTTGCTCCTGATAAGATAAAGTGAGAAGAAACCAATCGTAAATATTTATGTTCTGTCCGTTTATTAAATATATTTTTATCTATAGTATATAAGGAACTGTTTTATGTAATACGTGTATTTAAAACCAATAATTGCCTTTATATTATCTACACCATAGCACCGAAGCACAATGATAAATTTGACTTCCCGCGATAACGAGGATATTTTTGAACGGTTAATAGCAAAATTACGATAATTAAAAATAACAAAAATGAATCAGGAGATTTACATTTTGCACGTGCACTAATTTTTATAGAATCGCGAAAATAGATAAAACTTTAATTGAAGATATCAGTACCTACTACGTAGGTACGCGCGAAATAAAACGTGCCAGACGGTGGACAGAGAGTAACTGAGCGACCTTTGCCCCCGGTTATTTCAGCCCTTATCGCCCCCACTCCAAACCCCGTAGTCGGAATACTTTTACACCTCTGTATACAGTACGCGATCATGCCTCAACTTCTTTCATTGCTATAAGGACGAATACCAGTAAGAATCTTATGTAAAAATCGGACTTTTGTCATTTCCTCCGTTACAGTTTTTTTCTGATTGAAAACACTTTTTTCCCTACACTATTGTTTGCTGATTATTTATTCGATTTTAATGAAACTTCGTACATGCACATAACATCCTTATACCTGCAGAAAGCATGTTTCAGATTTTTATTAGAGGGTCGAATAAAAGACTTAAATTATGCCGTTTACTTTCTTCTTCGGAAGCTCGACTGTTTCAACAAACCCATCGCGATCTTAAGGATGTATTGGCTATACAGTCAATCCCAAAAGTTTATGNTTTCTAAAGTGCATAAACTTTTGGGATTGACTGTATAGCCAATACATCCTTAAATCTGATGTTTTACATTAGTACTTCTGTAATTGTCGCATTTCGATATTTTTCTCATTTCTGGATGATAAAAAAAAAATGGAGATAATCCTTGTCTTCCCATTTTCGAATGATCTCGGAACACTACCGTACAGTTTTTACATCTTGTCGTAGTTGTACAAACCCATATTTAAATAGTCATCTCTACGCAATGTTTTTGAATCAAAACATAGTTCTATTCGATCGCCGTTAATCGTCAGTGTATCAAGAGTATCAATAGTGTTCGCGTCGTCTCTCGTAACGAATATCGTGTAGTTTTTTGAAAGATTTATCTCAATCTTATCACACTTTTCACAAGATCTTTTGGGTTCTCACCACACCGACCTACAGCAATTTCTTTAATTTTTGTTACAAATCATCATCTGTATAATAAATTGATCTCTTTAACACCTACGAAGAAATTAATTCATGAAGTCCGATATTAAAAAAGTTCTTCAACTTTGAAATATGTACGAATATTTATGGAATTCACTGTATTGTAGGGAGAGTAATAAAGTAGAATTTACGTGCACATATGTATAAAAAATATGGTTCTAAATTAATTAGTATTTTTATATAATATCGATTTTAAACAGTTTTTAAATAGGAACAAAAGGATTAAAATAGTGTCTCGTAACTAGAAAGCGTAGATGGTATTTTTTTAGCATTAGTTCCAAAAGTTTTGTAAATGTCTGTCGGAGATGACATAATAGGTATTCCGTCTCCGGTTTATCTGAAAACTTTCACAACGCGGAAGTTTCGCGGTGCACGAGGGTGACGCGTGAAATTATCCAGTATACGGCGGAGATTTCGGGGGATGTTTCGCGCTCATCAAGAAAACAATATAGTCGCACCCCGTGGCGAGCTTACCATCCCTAGGCCGTTAGAGTTTGCTATCCCTTCTCCAATAGGGCGGACGGGTAAGGAGAAGGGTGGAAACTGTTACCGAGAGGCCGTAACTCCGGGGTGGCGGTGCTACTACCTTCTCGCCGCTCTAAACACTCGATGGTTTATTCATGAGGGCTCTCTCACCGCGATAACACTGATTCGTTTAATAAACGGCTGCTGCCGGGCGTAGAGTGGGGCCCCCACGAGCACCTACAACGTTATTCAAACGGACAATATATCTTGGAGGCTTATACTGCCAAGACTTTGCTCTTCTCACTTTTCGTTCGTCGACCAAGAGGTGAATACCTCTTTTTCTCTTTCGCGAATGGGAAACCACCTTGAACCAATGCTCTCTCTTGATGCGCGAAAACCCCGAAATAACTTTCATGTCGTTTTCTCAGTAAACCTCGAGTACAGTTAAGAGCAAAACACGCTATTTAATATTGAATAACTATTTTAAAATTAGGCCAAACAACGTAACTAGTTGGAGTAGTTGACTATGTGTACAAAAAAATTGGGAAAAAATAAAAGTTGATAGAAATTGTAAGGTAAAATGTGAAGACCTTTTCAACTCTTTTATCTGGACTTGTAATGAAAATTTAAATAACACATTTGACTACTGACTACTTATACACTATACTGTATGAGATTGGTATACATATGCTGAAAATTTTATTGAAATACGTCGATACTGAAAGAAGCGACAGGCATCGAAATCTACTATAGATTGTAGGTAAAAAGTCGTAAAAGTTGAAAGTTTGACAACTTAATTATAATTCATAACAATGATAATCAATTTCAGTGTTTTTTAATTATCAACGTGTTTTTATTAATCTTGATGACATTTTAAATAATAATTAATGCGAGAAAGTGAAGGAACTGATTATTAAAAATCAACATCGTTAAGTATCATTCTTCCCTCAATGAACTTAGTTAGACTGGCAAAGATGAAGACAGGGGGAAACGAAACTATTATCGTCTACGATATTTATTTTCCTGCTGGACCCTTCTTATCTCTAATAGATCGCGCCCCCGTTAAAGGCAACGATAAGGCTGAAGTGTTCGCAAGTGGACTATGATCATCTCTTGGGAACAGTTACCCTCTTCCGGTCACTTTCAATCCGAATCTGGACCTCTATTAACCTTTCCTAAGCTCTACGTTTCCGACGTTATTCGGATTTACTGCGGGTATAGTATTGTATCAGTAATCGATTTTCGCTACCTAGACTTATCGATGCCACGATATTGTCACTGTCATCTGTTACCTTCATTATCATTTCATTTATTATCGTTTATAAAGTTAACTATACAGGGTGTCCCAGAAAAAGTGTTAGAACCGAGTTGTAGGGCCCGCGCTAAGCCACGACCGAGCGTCATGATCCGAGCCAACCGATCCGTGGCTGGGCGCGGGCCCTACGTATGCTCTCATTGGTCAGTGTTTTTCGTTAATAATTCAAAAACCATGCCTCACTTTACATTTTGACAAAGGAAATTGTTGTTCAGAAACACTTACAGAATCACCTCTCTTCGGCTCTCACACTTTTTCTGGGACACCCTGCATGTATGTACAAGAGTATACGATACCCCCGATTTCTCAAACGAGCTAGATTTTTACTGGACTCGGAAGCGACTAATCGTTTGAATTCCTCACAATTGCATAGTCCATATTTGCAAATACATACGTACATAAGAATTCATACACATTTCAAAACTGAATAACATTCTTAATATTGGACTTAACGACTTAGTTTTTTAGGAAGTTTAGCTCACGGGAAAAAAANGTAATTTGCAAAAAACTGTTTTTTCGTTTTTCGCCAATAACTCGTTAAATATTAATGCTAGCGAAAAAATTGTACATGGAAATTGTAGATCTCGTCGTCCTCTACAAGAAGGTCGTATACAGTTTTCCCGTAGATTCAACGGTTTAGGAGTAATTAAGGAAAAATGAAATTTTTTGCCAAAAGTTCGTCGTTTTGACGCTGGGATGGTCGGATTTTGTCAACATCAATAAAATGCCAAATAATCATACGTAACTCGTTAAATATCGAAGTTAGAAGGAAAACAACTTTTATTT